GGGACCGGGCCATCATCACAGACAGGACTATTCTTGCGAATAAGCCTGATATTGTGCTGATGGACCGGGCACAGTCAAGGATATTTTTGGTCGACATTACCATTCCGTATGACGAGAACCTCGTGAAAGCCGAAACAGACAAGCAAACAAAATATCTGGACCTGGCTCACGAGGTGACCGACATGTGGAGTGGTCTGCCGACCGAAATTATTCCTGTAGTCGTCTCTGCAAACGGGCTAATCCCAGTCAGCCTCTCGGGTCATCTGAGGCGGCTGGGACTATGTGGCGGACCGCTCCAGGTTCAAATGCAGAAGGCTGTGCTCCTCGATACCGCCCGCATCGTCTGCCGGTTTCTTTCCCTTTCCCCCTAACCCTCGGCCGTTTGGTCTCCCCTGCCGAGGGCCTCCATCTGGTTGGGCTTTTATTTATTTATGTACTTTTATATTTATTTTATGTTATCTTATTTATGTATATTTATCTTTTCGTTTTCATTTATAATTATATATTTATAGAACCCAACCAGATGAGAAAACTATATAGATACCCCACAATAATAATAATAAACATTTATTTCTCCCACTTTTTACATAATTACAATAGTTTCATAAATAGTTAAAGTTTTTGAGTAGTAGTGGGAGACAGGAGCCCAAACTAGGTTACCCTGTGCTATGGGTCTCCTGGCTCCCCCTCTTGGCCTTATTACATACTTATCGATTATACTGTTCTTAGACATGAATTGAGCGTTGCATGTGGAGATCGGATATGAGATTTCCAAAGTGTAATTTACAATTAAAGTCATATAGAATAAATATAATATGCAATATGTTTTAAATGATAATAATAAAAGTATATAATCAAAATTTTATATAAATATATATACACATATATAAATACATACATATATATACATATACAAACATACAAATATACGTGTGCGTGCGTGTGTGTGTGTGTGTGTGTGTGTGTGTGTGTGTGTGTGTGTGTGTGTGTGTGTGTGTGTGTGTGTGAGTGAGTGTGTGTGTGTGTGTGTGTGTGTGTGTGTGTCTGAGTGTGTTTGTGTGTGTGTGTGAGTGTGTTTCTCACTATTCCGCTTTTACAGTAAATTCTCTGTTTCTTCGTAATCTAGTTTCATAAGCCAATCTGTTAATTTTTTCTTACATTTATATTTTGTTAGTTGAAAAATTGAATGTTTTTTTATTAACCTTATTATATAACCTGCCTATTCTGTACCCATAAAACTTTTGGGCGAAAGTAGATTTTGCTTGTATCGTTTCACATACCTCATAATTTCTTCTCCTAGTTTGTAGTAAATTGGGTGTATACACAGTGCAAGTGTGTTTTTTTTAAATTGAATACAATATGTATAATTTTCGTACTGTAAGCACGTTAGCTTCATTGAATAAACTGGTTGTTGAGAAAAATTTTGGTTTATAAAGTGCAACTTTTAAAATCATTCGTTGAGCTCTTTCCAATTCAAGCATGTGTGTTTTATTGGAACCTCCCCAAATAGTAATACCGTAAGTTAATATAGATTGGCACAAGGATATATAAACAGTTTTTAGCAATATCCAGTTTGTGACATGTCTTAAGTTTTTAAAAATGTACGTTAGTTTTCTGACTCTTTGGGTTAAATTTCTTATGTGTGCTTTGAATTTAAGATTGTTATCTATTGTTATTCCTAAATATTTGATTTCTTGTGTATTTATTATATTAAAGCAGTTGCAGTTTGAACTAGGAAATTGAAAACATGAATGAGCTATAATTTTATAATTGCTAATATATTTTGGTAATTTTCGAATAGAGAACGTATTTAACAACGTTTTATCAACATTAAGTGAAAGTGAATTTATGGCTAGCCACTGACAAACGGTATTAAAACCTTCTTGTGCAATGTTAAAAACCTCTTCCCATGAATCACCATAAAAAAGTTAGTGTATTATCATCGGCATACGATATTGTTTTACAATTTTTTATATTTAAGTCACAAAGTTCATTAATGTAGCACAAAAACAGCGTTGGGCCAAGTATACTGCCTTGCGGGATGCCGTAACTAATGGGTTGTTCATCGCTTACTATGTTACCTATCCGAACGCTCTGTGTTCGATTATGTAAATAATCCATAAGTAGTTGTAACTGTTTGTCCCTTATGCCCATCATTTCTAGTTTTTCAGAAAACTTGGCGAAAGAAACTGTATCAAAAGCTTTTTGATGGTCAATAAAAATGGTTAGGCATTTTTTTTATTATCCAATTTTTCAACAATAAAACTAGTTAAGGCGTGTACAGCATCAGTTGTTGACTTTCCCTTTCTAAAACCGAATTGAGCTTTTGAAATTATATCATTTGCATCCAGATATTTGATAAGCCTACAGTTAATAATCTTTTCAAAGATTTTAGAGAGGGAAGGTAATATTGAAATAGGACAATAATTTGAGATACAGCTTCTTTCACCAGTTTTAAATATGGGAATGACTATAGACTTTTTTAGTGAGGGAGGAAAGATGCCTTTTGATATACATACATTAAAGATATGTGTAAGGGGAGGTACCATTATATCTTTGAGAAGTTTTAATACTCTAACAGAGATCCCATCCCATCCTGCACCGCTGTCTGATTTAAGGCTTAAAATGTACCTTTCGATTTCCTCTTCACTAGTGTTTAGGAGAACAAACGAGTTACACCTTGATCTTCTTCTATTTATATTTTGAGGAAGTAATGGAATATTTAGAGGAATTTTACTGGCTAATTCAGCACCTATTTTGGCAAAATATTCATTGGCCGCGTTTACAGATTTAAGAGGACTTATATTAGCTTTAAGAAGTTCCAGCGGTAAATTTTTACGATGGTCTAGATCATTAATTTTTTTTATAGTTTTCCAAATTTTTTTGTTATCATTACCTGCTATTTTTAATTCGTTGCTTTCATAATTTCTTTTACATTTTTTCAGAATGTTTATACATTTATTTACATATTGTCTACAATAATCTGATCTGGTCACTTTTTTTATAAATGCTTTAATTTTCTTATTTGAAGGGCTTAAAAAGTTGTAATTTCATGATTTTTTCTACTGCAAATATCAATTTTTTTTTCTATTAGAATAAATGTAGCAATGTCGTACTTAAAACCACATAAAATACAACTATTTTCAAGTGAATTAGAAATAAATAAAATTAAAAAAATATATATCTTCGTACTTTTTACCTACATTCCATTTATAAACCAGAAACGCCTGAAAATTCTCTCAGTTCCGCCGGGATTTCTCGGCGTTCAGACGTGTGCAGTGTTGCTCAACGTTACTTTACCTCTCGCTCGCACGGTTGGCCTCTTTCCCTCGCACAGCTCTTATGGACTGAGCGGAGTATATCGTGAGAGTTGCTCTATTTAAATATATATTATTTTTATTTAATTCTCATATTATTTCTAGTTTTTAGTGTATTAGTGTTTATATTAGTATTAGATTAATTGATTTGGACTTTTATATTTGGAGAATTTTAATTTATCACCAAAAAAAAAAAAACGGAAAAAGATGGATAGAAAAAGAGAAAAGAAGAAATGTCCTTGTGTCATTAAAAATAGTAGTAAAAGTAGTAGTAAAGTACAAAATGTACAAGGTAGAGGCGAAATTTGTATGAAGAGGCAGTTTTTATTTTCCTTCGGTTGTATACCCTTTTTAAACCTATACCCCGTATAAACATTACTAAAAACGACATTTATGAAATATAAAAGGGTAAAAATTATACTACTACGACAAAAGTAAAAGGAACATTTTTGTAAAAAAAATTAATAAGTTATATATTTAATGAAGTAGAGAACCTCACCTGCGATTCGAACGTATTTATGCACGGGGGAGAGCGCCCCCTCTAATGGCTGGGAATGTAAAACAGCAACGCTAGACGGAAGCCTTAAATATTTATTTACACCTTCTCTATTTTCTCTCTTTATAAATATTTTTTACCGTTAACCGTTTATCAGCGATTATCTGTTCGTTTGAACTTTTAAATTACTTGATAAATATTTTATAACATTTTTATTATAGTTTTAATATATTCTAAGGATTAGCATTTGTATTGTAAGGATAGTAGACTAAATTCGATCAGTAAGACACCGGGTAACTGAAAAATAACAAACAACACAAAGTCAGTTACAATAAACATGTCACCCATACATATATTTATTTGTTTGCTGTTTGTATAATGTTATATTCATTTTATTTATACATTTGTTTATTAAATACTATGCTATTATTCCCGGTTTCCAAAAGATCCGGATATTAAAGATAAATGGATATACTTATCCTTAACGTTTTATTATATCCCTTTTCTCTAATTACAAAGCGTCTAAAAGTTAAAGCTAAGACCAAAAGCGTCTATTACTGAGACACTTTCAATTAATTAGTTATATCTTGATGTGAAACTCCTGGACGATCAACGACGCTTAATAGAAAGGTCGAAACATGCGTTGCGCTGCACTATGCCCAAGTAAGAGTGAGCATGCAATGTCATTTTCTGTTTTTCGCATTATTGGACCGAGTGGCTACGCCTCCTGAGATTTTGCGTTTTAATAAAATATTCCTTAACGCAATAGTTTATAGTTTAATCTTTGTTCCATGAGTTCTAGAGATATGTGTAGGCGTAATTGTGTATTTATTGGTTGTGAATGTGTGATAGCTGCGAACCGGCGACACGCGTCTGATATTAAAAGACAGTAGAAGGCATTTCTTGTGCCTGATTATTTAGATTTCTGTGGTTGTTGTCTATTGTTCTTGTACCAGTCATGATCAATCAAAAATCTTTGCAAATTATTTCAAAGTTATCAAACATCTAGGATGTTTTCTTATAGCTTAGAGTGTGGATAGTATAAAGAATATAAACACAATGAAAAAATAATTTTCGAAGTGCGTTTCAATACTACGAGTAGGTATCTAATTTTTAAGAAATTATATCTTAAAATTCGTGAAGTTGCTGATGCAAAGCTTAGCGTTAAATAATCAAAATATGCATACGTTGGCAAGCTGGTCGAAGCGTCCAAAAAGCTCATTGAGAAGGCGCACCAACTCCTGCGCACTGCACTGCGATGCGAGCACCGTGAAGCCCACGATATCCGCGAAGAGAATACTGCAAGAAAATAAACAATAAGCTAATCTCAACGTCATAACTTTTTACATATTGTAAGAAGTTCCGTTTAATATGTATTATATTTTAAAGACGTAATCGTCAATTGTCAGAAAATGAGGTGTGGGTTTCCTTACACCACTACCATACGCGAGCTTCATAAGTCTTATAAGCAAATGTACTTCTTCTCCGTCTTTAACTGTAGTTACTACTGGAGCCCTTGTAGTTCAGGGAATATGCAAGAAATCCGGTTTCGATCCCCACCGCCACTAATGAAATTAAATTATGTATTGCTTAGCAAAGAAGGTTAATATTCTGAGGAAAACTGCAAGTCTGAAGAAATAATGTTCGAAAGATATGTCAAGACCAGCAACATACACTGGGACATTTCCTTGCCCTAAAAGCCTCTAATGCACCCTACTGAAATGAAAGGTTTTGTGTCAAGCAGTTGGACGTATATGCGCTTGCAACTTTACTTTTTTCTTTACTTATTGGACATAGGTCTTTCAAAAACGCATTAGCTGTGTACAACGAACAACTTTTCTTACTGGACAAAGGAAATGCGCCAGTCAGAGAAGTGTTACTTGAAAATTTGCCGATATTCACCATGCTGGATAGAAGGCTTGGAGAGGGTAGAGCACCAAAGCTGCGATCCCTTGCCTATGAAATTTGTTTCACGCTTTCATGGGTAGATTTTTTACCATCAGTTCCTTGCCAGTGCTTCATTCTCCAGCAGCAGGGCTGATCGCATGCAGGTAAGGTTGGCGTTTGAACAAACCGCTTATCTCTTAATTCCCATAAAAGTCTAGTAATTGAATAGTCACAATTAAATAATAAGTTTTTTTTACTAATTATTATAGTTTAAGATATAATATTTTATATAAACGTCTATACGAATATAATAGTGTGATTATAATTATAATACCTAAAACAAAAGGTATCCATTAAAATAAGGTAGAACTATCTTACATTATTAATTTGCCCGTACAGAAAATTTGTACGTATTATCCATGTTTCCGGAAACCTATATTTTCCGCCAATAACTACAACCGGAAATAAAGGGACGGAAAACGGAAGGATTTGGATTGTTATTTGTCATGCCATTAGCCCCTATATTAATGCGAATAATCAACTGAGTACCTCCTGCAATATTATAGGTGTAGTTTCATATAATGGTTAAATAAACAAAATATTCACAGGTTTATATTTCTAAAATGAAAAATAAGGAGCTTACATGGACAAAACAAAGATCATTTTTAATGTCCATGTCACACCTATGCCGGTAGTTGTTGGGAGCACTATGCTCGAAGTTGTTGACGAGTACGTTTACCTGGGACAAATAGTCCGACTAGGTAAGTCCAACTTCGACCGAAAGGTCAATCGACGGATTCAACTCGGCTGGGCAGCGTTCGGGAAATTACGACACATCTTCTCGTCAGGTATACCTCAAACTCTGAAAACTAGATTGTACAACCAGTGCGTGTTGCCAGTGATGACTTACGGATCTGAGACTTGGTCCTTCACTGCTGGCCGTATGAGGACGCTCAAGGTCGCTCAAGGTCGCTCAGCGAGCTATGGGGAGGGCTATGCTCGGAGTTTCTCTGCGTGATAGACTCAGAAATGAGGATATCCGTAGTAAAACCAGAGTGACTGCCATAGCTCAACAAATTAGTAAGCTGAAGTGGCATTGGGCCGGCCATATAGCTCGAAGAACCGATAACCGATGAGCAAGAAAGGTTCTCGATTGGCAGCCTCACACCGGTAGGCGCAGTGTAGGGCGACCCCCCACTTGATGGAGTGACGACCTGGTAAGACATGCAGGAAGTCGATGGATGCAGGGGTGGTGTCAGGATCATGCTCTGTGGCATTACTTGGGGAGGCCTGTGCAGCAGTGGACCTGTGAAGGGCTGTGATGATGATGATGATATATATATGGGATAGGGTGACAAACAAGCACACAGTCCACCTGATGGTAAGTGGTTGCTGTGGTCCATAGACATCTACATCTATCCTCGATCACGCAAAATATCACACACAAAATGCATATGCGTTGTCACCCGTGAGGACTAAGATGGAATGCCTCGTTTCCAGTAAAAAGGGTCTCCGGTTCTCTACACTCACTATAAGACACACAGCAGCATTAAGCTGCTTGTTATCTTAAGCAGGTATTCTGTGAGAGCATGGTTTTTCTCCGGTCGAGCCGACCCATTCATGCTACAACCATAATAACTACAGTGTAGCTCTACCACGTAAAAAGTATAATATCTATGATCAGGATGATGATGACATTAACATTTTTAAATTATTGTGTTATGAGTTAAAAACTCGTTTTATGGTGAAATTTAATACGCGTGTTGTAAATTTTAAGTACAGAGCAAGTACAAAACAAAGTTCAAAGAGACTATCCAATTAAAACATAAGAGGTAACACCGGCGACTAGTATACCAGATTTGTACGGTGCACTTGTACCAGAATACGTCATTAACAGATAAAAATAAATATAATATTTAATGCAGTGAGCTTATTTCTTAAGCATTTGTGTTTATTATATCAAAAATTGTGAAATGTTAAGTTCATTTATTATATACTCAAATTCATTTCTATCAAGGAATATAAATATTTCAGAAGATAAGAGCGCTTAATAGTAAAAACATTTTTTAAAACAAGCTTTTATTAAATTATACCCGGTAATTTATTACATGACACAATCTATTTTACTTATTAAAAAAACAATTAATTTAAAAAGTTAAATCCAGTATACGTTCCACTACTGCGCACAGACCTCCTCTCATTTCTGAGAGGGTTTTGGAGCAAGGAAGTGTCCGCTGCGCTGCCCCAGTGCGAGTAAGCGAACTTCACGTTCACGTCTTCGAAATATTTTTATTTTTCTTATTTTTCATACATGTAGGTTTCTTCACGATATTTTCCTTCACCGCCGAGCACGTGGTAAATCAGCACTTAAAATTGCAATTAACCATTTAATTGGAGCCGGGCGGGGATAAAACCCGGGTTGCTCGGGTACTACTGTGAAATTTACAGCTAGCGCTAACCATCTGATTTACCACGGCTTTACGGATTTATTTTTTGTTATTGCTGGACATGTTTTCAAGTCTGTAAGTTTAATTTATTGCATCATTCTTGGTTTTTGATCGCCGTCTTGACCCATCATCTTAAATTTTTTATATCGCCAGCGGTTGACACTTGTCGGTCTTTAAACATTTGGTCGAGTACCATCAAACTATCCCTAACATTTGCCGATTTTTAACTCTTTAAAATTGGTATGGCGGCCATCTTTTTGTTTCACCACTCAGAACGATAGACTCAGAAATAGATACGCAGTAAAAACAAGGGCCCAAAACCCAAGAAAAAAAGGGCCCAGGGGGCCCAAAGGAGGGGGGAGGGACTTGGGGGCCCACTTGGGGGCGGTAATAAAATACTAGAATTTGCAAGGTTTTTGCCGATATTAGTAAAGACGCGACCCCGCTATGTCTTACCGTTTAATCGGTTACACCATCTCCTCGAAGCGCTGCACGCGGACGTCATTTTATTCTTATTATTATCAGCGAATTCTTTCATTTCATTTGATTTGATATCCAATAAAATAAATTCATTGTAGACAAGGACTGGCTTATTAATAAAAAAAACCCGCACAAATGCTAGGAGGACTCTAACTAACCAAACTATATATGTGTGTAGTGTAGATAGTTCATCTATCTCGAGAATTATAGGTAAGTCAAGTATTAATATATCGTAAGAAAGCAATATTTATACATCGTAAAAATATGTTTATAAAAGTATTTTATGACAAAACGTTCAATGGCCAGTTTTGGCAAAAATAGCCATATTAAATATTAATTCAATCATAGAATCAGTCATCAACAGTTATTGTGTTGCCCAAATGTATGCAGTATTTGGGGTAAAATTGAGAAAAAAAAATATTGAACGAAATCGTGGCGGAACTAGAATCTAAATTGACTTTATAGGATATAGGAACTTTTAATATATTTTAATTTTATAATAATATTTTAAGTATGTATGTGTATCTTATGCGTCAATTTCTAACAACAGGTGTAATATGTCAAGTTTTTAAGTGAATCACAAATACAGCTGATTGATCGAGCAGGAGTTGGGTCGGGGCCAATGATGCGCACGCCTTGACGTGCACGCCGCACCGCACGTGCTCCGGAGCCAACAATAAATTTGTTGGCCGGATACGTACCGGTAGAAAATTTGAAAAGCTTTTCGAGTACACGTCGACTTTAATCTATTAACTATGGTAGATGTGTTAATATATATATATATATATATATATATATATATATATATATATATATATATATATATATATTCAGTACAAGATCTTATCAGCTTAATATACATAATTATAATAATAATATATTTAATACATATATTTTGTATGAAAGTGGGTATTAAGAAGATATACAAGAGGGTATTATTAAGGCATACAAGCACACAGTCGACCTGGTGGTAAATACTAAATAGATGATGTGAGCCATTGATATATGTACCTATCTTCGATTAAGAATCAAAATGCACATGCGTTGTCACCCATGAGGACTAAGATGGAATGTCTCGTTTCCAGAAAAGGCGATCTCTTTCTGCACACACTGTACGAAACAGCAGCATTAAGCTACCATTTCACGCCAGTATTCTGTAAAAGCGTGCCCTTATCCGGTCGAGACGACCCATTTATGCTACAACCATAATTTAGTTGCAGGATGGCTCTACTACGTAAAAAGTTTGCATTTATTTTATCATTACTTCATTTATAACGAATCTAAAAAATATTTGTTTACTCAATAACAAATACTCTAAGGTTACTTACTATATGAAACACAGCCTAATGTTGCTATGTTTCATAGAGTTGACGAAGAGAAGATAGAAGGGGAACAAAGACAACAGTTGTGGGAGTCACTCTGATATATAAATTTATATTTCAAATATTTGGTGAAAAATCGATAGTGTACAGAGAACAGCAATAC